CAAATCTATTAAAGGATGTTGTCTGGGGGCGTTGAGGGTTGGTTTTTTAGTAAATTTATTTACTGTATGTAATTATATGTAACTGTTTTTTACTTTGGTTTTGCTGGTTTAAAGAAACAAAATGACAGTGGTTTTTATTATAGCACAATCAAAATCAGTGGATATAAAGCAGAATGAGCAGTGTAAAACCAGAAAAAGATGTGTAATAGGTAGCATGTGTCTGTATTGGTAGAAACTCATCTTCTGCATCCATAGAGCGACAGATCAGTCCACTCCATCCTTTTTGCAGTGAGTCTTCTTTCAATAGCCTGTGGATTTTTTGTCTTACTCCAGTTGGTTTCTACTCCAAACAAATTCTTGTGAAATCTTGTTTTAAATGCTTGCACCAAGTGTTTTACTTGTTTCTTCCCTTCTGATGTGAGTTGCTCTTCAGAGATTTCTCAAATGAGTAACAGAAGTATAGCTATTAGATTGTAAAAGCATAGCTCTGGCTCTAATATATGTGAATTCCATCAAAAAGACTTTTATTGTAGTGCTATATCCCACTTACACTGCCTGAAATGGAAAAGGTGTATTAAAGTCTGCTTGCTATGAAGGGGAGGAGTGCTACAGGCTGAGACAGTAGTTTACTACAAAAGCTTCCTTAAGTGTAAAGTGTTGATTTACTCTGGGAAATGAGCTGAGTGGGAGAGCTGACTACTTCTCTTTCAGTGTGATTGCACACAAACCTGTGCTTGCAAAACAGTTACATTCTTTGCAACAACTAAAGCTGAGAATTCCAAAATAGCAAGATTTCTTTGACAGCATATATGGGGAAGAAGGATGTTAAGGATAATTGTAAATGTACACGTAAGTATGTAGCTTGAGCTTACAGTTTTAATATTTTAACCACCCTGAAACTAACAGAAGGAAGGAGGGATGAAAAAGATAATGGCAGAATAAATCAACTCTGCATTTGCAAGGAAGGTGAACATTAGGCACTTCTGTATAAATAAGTATCAGAATTATGCTATATTAACTAGCTAGCTTTAAAAATTCCAGAAATATAACAATTAGAACTTATTAATGATTCAGATTTACCACTATTTCAAATCATCAGCTGAATAAAATCTTGAAGAGGAAAAGAAGTGTTTGATAATACTATGTATGATAGTATCTATGTTTGATAATACTAGGTTAAAAGTCTGGCATATTTGTCATACGATGAAAGCCAAAACTACTGTCAGCTCAGAAACAGATGTTTGGAATGAATTGAGAGGTTTTGGAGTTTTGTTTTACTAGTTAAGAAATGGGGATTGCAGGACTTTCTGCAGCCAGTGGAATATTAGCTTTGCCTCTTCAGTCTTCCCTCAGGTTAACAAGCTTCAGATTTAATCTTCTGTGCACAAGTGATGAAATCCTGTTCCTTGCCTCCTCTGAAGTCAGGGGCTAGAGAAAGGCATACGTCCTTCAGCTCTGCTGATGCATCCTGAGCACTACACTGTGGTGGGGTGTTAGCAGCTCCCCCAGATCTGCACATGTTCATACATGTATCTCTTTGCTTGGTGAACAGTTCTTCAGAGAAGAACAGTCTTCTGTCTGGAAGCACTTGCTTTCTTCCCCCTGCAACTTAACTTTCCATCACTAGAAGCTATTCTGGGTGCTGGGCTTTCATCTCTAACAAGAACACTGACAAAACATAGGTGCATTCCCTCCCTTAAGCACTTTACATTTTGTGTGTCTTTCATTTTACATTACTGCATTTTGGTTAAGCCGCTGAACTTTTTGTTAGAAGCATACCTCTGAACAGAAGAGTCATGCCATGGTACTGCAGCAGTCTGGTACATTTTTTTTTTTATACCATCTCCTTGATCATCCATCCTGTGCTCTTTTTACTGTTTTATTGTAGCAAACATATTCACGTGTTCCCAAGGTTGTATTAGTAATATCTGTAAGTACAATGAAAAATGGATACATATCTACCACTTGATTCTGTATCTTCCATGCTTTTCAAGTGTTTGCTTATTTGAACTCTCTGAAGAGAAAGTAACATATTCCTTCAGTGTAAACTCTTACAGTACTTCTGTCCTTACCTGTGCTATGTTCATTGCTTGACTTTGTTGTAGCTAAACTCTGCCGAAAACCTGCCTGCTGATCTTCATCTTTCCTTTGCTACCTCTAGTGATTGAATACTTTGGCTTATGGAAGGCTGTTTTGTTTCTGACATGTGCATATCACTGCTTTCTTTAGCAAAACAAATAAGTTGAAAACAGCCGTGCTGACACATACATATGCACTAAACCTGTCAAAACAGAATTTTCCATGCCTTGACTACTGCATTTTCCTATACTGACTTAGCAGTCCCACCTCATTCCAGATCTCTCAATGTGCCTGCTTTTCCTCTGGACATCTCTTCCTGATGTCTGTATTGCAGTTGAACCACCCTTTAGAGTGATCTGATTTGACTCTGACCTGTTTAAATGAGTCTCACCTTTGCTAGGGGTGATGGTGCTGGTCACTACTGGAGCTGCTGTGCCTCAGTTCATGCTCCTGTACTACTGCTCCTCACAAGCAAGATTCATTCCTGGGCAAAAAATTCAGTGAGACTTCTCCCTTCCTTCCCTCCAGGCTTCGCATCACAGCTCTGTTCTGCTGAAATGCAGTGTCTGAGGTGCAACCTCACTGCATCCTGGTGGCTTTTGTAGGGCTTGGGCGCGGTGTTTACCAGTGGTCTCATAAACCACCATGAACTTGGTGTGCTTCAGCCCACGTGTCTTTTGCCTTCTGTCTTACACACTAAGCCGTTACAGAAACAGGACTTGCTCCATCTCCTTGGTCATGGGGGATTTCAGACTTGGATGAGCTTAGTTGACTTTGAATTTTTTACTAGTGGCTTCTGTTAGCCTACAACCGTAATAGCTACTTGTTCAGCTGGGCTTGTCCATGTGCTGGAGATGACATAGGAAGTAACCATGTAGCCTAATGTTGCCTAAGATTTTAAGATCTATAACTAAATTGTGGGGATCTACAGGTGTCAGTGTTTCCAGTGGGTTCTTGGCTGGCTTTTGATGCAATCAACTGATATTAAAGTATCTGCGTATCAAAACACATTGCTAATGTAACAACATGAAAAATAAATTGCCTTTAGAACATGGGCAGAAATGCCTCAGCTAGGCACAAGCATGTTCTGCCCATTCATTGCTCTTTAATCTTTGTGAAATGTCCATGATGTACAGCTCTCCAAACTAGTAATTCAGAAGACTGTAGACTGAAACCTGCTGTAGGTTTGTACCAGCAAGATGACAAAAGCTTGTGTGGTTTTGTTTTGGTGGGTTTTTTTTCCCTTGTTCAGCCTTTATAAAGTAGAATCTGCATCTGTTGCAGTGTACTTGCATTGAAAATCCTCATGGTTTGACAAACCGATGGGGCAGAGCCTATAAGCAGCATTTTATTTTTATGCGTGTATTTTTCTGCAGCAATGTGTAACATGCCTGGCTATTCCAGCTGATAAATGGAAGTGTCTGTCTTGTGTATTTTATAAGCTGGTTAGTGTCTGCACTAAATACAGGTAAACAGAATAGGCAATCAATGCTGGAATCAGTTTGATTTTTTTGCTAACATGTTCTTCTAAGGGTTTTGGCCTGTAACTGTACAGTAAAGGTGTGTGTAGTTACTGTGTGCAGTGAGAGTCAAAACAAAGGTGTGGAAGGTCTCAACCTGCCCAGCCGGTGGGGTTCAGGTGCTGGTACAGTTTCTCTGCTCCTTTGTGGCCAGGGCACACGGAGGGCTGCCAAATGTGGTGTGGAAGCACAGCTCAATTATGTAAAATACAGTCAAGGCTAAAATGGGATTCACAGTGGCTCTACTGCTGCCTCAACTGAGAGACCAGCATCATTGAAATGTCTGTGGGAAAAACTGGGTTGTTTTGTTTGCCACATGCAAGAAACAAGATTTTTTTTCATGCAATGTTTTTTTTTTTTATTTAAAATACTTTTTTGGTGCATATATGATTACTGTAGCTATTACTGTATTGCTTTGTGCTAGAGAAAATAAACCACTGAACCAAATGCTGGTTTTTGAGTGTTTTCCTTGCTTATGTAGTTAGGGCCAGTTACATCTTCTATTTACTTTTTCAGGGAAAAATAATAATTGAATATGTAAGGAAATATAATTTTTACAAGTTAAAAAGGACTGCCTTCTACTGGAGGTGGGGTGGGGGGTTGATTTTGCTGTAGAACTGCTCTGGCCTTCTGTGTGCCTCTTCTCTCCCTCCCTCCTGGTCCCCGTGCTACCTACAATAAAGACAAGTTCAGAGCGGAGACACTGCTTTACTCTGCACAGGGTGCTAGGTCCAAAGCATCTGGAAATCAAGCACATCACACAAAATAAACTCAAAGTATAACACTCCCAACTACATGATTACATATTTACTACCATTATTGGTTGCTTATCACCCCTATCCCTCACTGATTAGTAACTTACTTGTTGCAGTTTGAAGTTAGCCTTGGTTTTTAATTTTCTGTATGAGCTCAGAGGCTGAGGGTTTGTCTTTGGGCAGGGGTCTTTGAAGCTGTGGATTTGATTTTTTTTATGATTATAATGAGGCTAGTTCTTCCAAAGGGCACTAATCTCTAATTAACTAATTTATATTAAGCAGTTTTAACGAGCTTCCGGGCTTAAAGAACTGTAGCTCCTGATTAGAAGTTCCCTATTAATTGCTGACAGTGTGATGGACAGACTGACCCAGCTGCTGTGTCCAGTCTGCTCTTGCATTTGACGAGAAACATTTGTGTGGACAGCAATACGCACTCGATGTCGTCGTGCGGCCTACGCTTCGTCCCCGGTAAACAATACTTTCTTGCCGGGGGTAGCAAGCGCACCCAATTCCAGCATCCCTGAGCGCGGGTAGCACCGGGCGGCGGCGGGGGCAGGGCCGGCGGCG